CCCTAAACCCTAAAGTTTGGGGTTTGGGGCGGGCTTGAAGGTTTGGGTATGAGTTCAGGGTTTGGTCTAGGACATTTTCAAGTGGTAGTTACCGTTATAGGAGCCTTATAGAAGGTCTATATACCTTATGGAAGCCTTATAGAAGCCCTATATACCCTAAACTCCCCACTGCAGTTTCCTTTAATCTGGGGGGGGGGGGGTTGGGTGTTTAGGGCATACTTAGCGCGTTTGAGCTTGAGGTTTCGAGCTGTAGGTTTTCAGTGCTCCGGGACTTGTTGCTGTCGGTGTTTCTAGCAGGGTTTGGGGTTGCAGCCGTCTTTAACCCCAGAACATCCCCAAGCCGTGCATGGAGTGAAGTGCCCATGAGGTGAATTGCATTATATTTGGTGCAGATTTTACGTCCCGAATTGCTGCTGCAACCCTATAACCCCGCTTTGCTAAGCTGGGTTTTAAAGAATGTTCTGGTGGTAGAGAGGTTTCCACAGCTATATCGGATCCCTTTTTGTCTGTCTTTCTTGGAGCTGCGACTACATTAATGGCAAACTGAAATACTTTCTCTGCAGATTGCCATTGTCTAATCTTGTGCTGCACTTAGGCAGCGCGGATTTGATCTACTGCTCAAGCCCAGGACTGTTGGCCCCTCGCCCGCGCCTGAAGCTGAACGACCCAATGAGATTGCAGTCAAGGTTTGATAAGGAAGGCTTTGGTGCCTGGGTGACCCTAAACCCTAAGCCCCTAACTAAAGCCCTAAACCCTAAAATCCCCAAAGCTCTAAACCCTATAATCCCTAAAGCCCTAAACCCTAAAATCCCTAAACCTGTCTTGAGCATGGAAGAAATGCTCCAGAGCTGGCTGGGGATGCTGTACTATGACAAACCCAGAGACTCCAAACCCCCTTAACTAAGGAAAAACCCTAAATCTTCGTTGGGTTCCTAGTATAGTTTAAGGTATATTCCTTAATTAAGGGGCTTTGGAGTCTCGGGGAAGAGCAGCTGATGCTATAAGGTTTAGGGTTTAGGGTTTAGAGAAAGAAGATATCGAAAAGGATCTGCTTCGAAAATCGCAAAAGCTGTCCACATCGCTCCCGGCCCAGACCGACAACACAGCGCTCACGCATGGGCTGAGGGTTTAGGGCCTCTTAGGATAAGATAAGATTCCTTACATATGTTCAGAAGTTCCCAACATGATGCCTGACCCTGAAGCCTACAAAATGCTAAGCTCTAAAAGGTGCATGTCGCTTATAGGCTCTAGGCTCCAGACGTATGGCCGTAAACCCTCAACCCCCGGTCCTGTCGCGGTCTGAGAGTGTTATACAAAGTTGACAAGAACAGCTTGAATTTGATTGAATTTGTAATTGAAACTGTAGGTCGCCCAGTTAAGCATCTTGGCGTGCTTCTCGCTTGGATGGTTCGCAGACGTTTTGCCTAAAACCCAAAACCCCTAAACCCAAAACCCCAAACCGCTAAACCCTAAACTCCAAACCCCTAAACCCTAAATCCCAAACCCCTAAACCCTGAACCCTAAACCCTTAAAGCCCTAAAGCCGAAAGCCCTAAACCCGAGACTCTTGACCTCCAACAAACCGTTGCAGGGCGTACGCCGGTCCACTATGCAGCTCTAAATGGCGACTCAGGAAGCTCCTTGACCGTTCACCCTAACCTTTAGGGTTCAGAGTTTAGGGGTTTAGGGTTTAAGACTTGAGAGTTGGGCTTTCAGGGTTTTGAGTTTTGGGTTTTGGGTTGTGGGGTTTAATGTTTAGGGTTCTAGGGTTTAGGGTTTTAGTGTTTCAGGGTTTCCGGGTTCAGGGTTTGAGGTTGTAGGCTTTGGCTTAGGATGGTGTCTTTTACGGTCGAAAATTTGCGGTTTCGTGTTTCAGCGCGCAGGGTTCCACTCCCGAATCTCGAAGGACAGGCAACAAGCGGTTCAGGTTTCCAACAAAAACCTGAAGGCCCTAAACCCCCACACCCCCTGAACCCTTTTCGCACGCGTCACACTCACCTAGGTCGTCCAAGCTGAAGAGTGTCAGGTGCATAATGTGGGACCAAGAATAAGTCGAAGCCATATGGGTGGTTGTCCAAATTAGGGTCTCTTTGGGTTCAGCTAAACTACAGGGCCTAAGAGTAGAACTATCTAGGGTTCCCTAAATGTGGCGCTTAGGTTGTGTGACCCGAAATTAAGTAGGCTTGAAGTCTTCGTGTTTGTTTAGTCTTCCTTAGCACGTACATCCGGAAGCTCATGCCGACAGCGTTTTGTGATGTACCCTATAGGTATGTACAGTAGTATGTATGTACGTACGTAGGTACGCAGGCAAGTAGGCAGGCAGGCAGGAAGGCAGGCAGGCAGGCAGGCAGGCAGGCAGGCAGGCAGGCAGGCAGGTAGGTAACGTAGGTAGGTACGTAGCTAGGTATGTATGTGTGTGTGTGTGTGTGCATGTACATACAGATTGACGAACACCTGGGAAATCAAGTAAACAGCCACATGCAAACCGAAACCTGACGCCAAACCCTGAACCCAACTCCCCAAAAACATGGACCCTATATACCCTAAACCCTAAATCCTAAAACCCTAAACCCCTAAACCCCTAAACCTAAACCCTAAACCCTAAAACCCCTAAGCCCTAAACTCCAAACACCTTGAAACCAAGGCTAGAAGAAGTATGCCCCCAAACCCAAAACACTCAGGCCTGCGGGCGTTCGTCGATCTTGCGAGCCTGACGCCGGGGGAGCTGTGCCCCGGGCAGAACTTAGAGGGAAGCCAGGGCTCGAAGGGTGACGGTTTAGGGTTTAGGGTTTAGCTGTAGTCTCTATAGTATACGGGCGTATAAAGTATAAAGGTTAAAAATATTAGTTACCAATACGATGTTCCAATACTGTTCTGGTGGTTCGTTGTTGTAAGTATGGTATAATGTACCCCCCCAACCCTTGTTCGATTTCGTAAGTGCCCTTTTCTGTGGGGCTGTAGGAGCTCTACAAGTAGGGGGTTCTATACAGATATACAGGTTCTATAAAGGCTCCATAAGGGTTGTATATAAGTTCTATAAGGGTGCTACTATAAGGGTTCTGCAAGATCTCTGAGAGCTTATGATAAGTATGGGGTACACATACTTATATGAAACCGCAGGTCGCCTCCGCTTGGTGCTGAGGGCTTAAAAATATTTGTAGGTAGTTCTCTAAAGTAGGGTCCCCTTTAGGGTTCCTTTTTACAAGGGTGCCGTCCTATCTTGGTGACCTAAACAGGGACCCTAATGGCCCTAATTTGGAGAACTAGCCAAATCGTGACCCTCATATGCTTACGTAGTTTGTTGCTACTAGTCATAGGATTCGCAAAAGAATGAGCCCGAAGAAATGGTCTTACTACTCAACTACTTAGGCTGCTTTATGGTGATACCTTCGGAGCTGTTTTGGGGATTGGGGCCTCAGATTTGGGTTCAGGAATGAAGGGTTATGGCCTGGAAACTGTACTTAGTTCCCCAATACCCAACCTTTAAACTTTCTGGGTTCTTATAAGTTAGTAGTACTCTGAAAGTTTAACCTTTTATTTCCCTGGTTTCATGAAATGCCTTGGTAGTCGAGAGTAGGATATCCGGGTTTAAGGCCTTCGCGCTCGCGGATTTTTGGGGGACCTTTAGGGAAGCCTTTAGGGCCTATACAGATTTCTTCGTGATCATACAAGTCCGTACGGTTTAGAGCTTAGGGTCTAGGGTTTAGGGCGTGTTTCCAAGTTTTCAGAGGGGGTTGCATCATGTGGTTGAGGCGATGGTGTGTTCATAGAGACCTCGATGCAAAAGGCGCCTTAGCAAAACGTCCGATTCATTCTGTTCTATCTTCTAGATTCTAGAATCCTCCATCAAGGGGAACTCTGTAAATTCCTCACATGCCTGATTTCAATCTGCAACCAAAGCACCCAAGTTAATTTCCTAAATACAGATAGAGTAAGAAAGCGTTGCCGAAAAAGAATCCCCCACAGCCTAGAGCCTGACCCTGTGGGTCCTTAACCTTTCTCCCCGAAACCGTGCAAGCCTTGAATCGTTTAGCCGAAATGGGTTTAGGGTTTAGTTAGGGTTTAGGAGTTCTAAACCCAAAGCCGTACCTGCGGCATGCTGCAGGGACGAGAAAAGAAGTTTCGGAAGAAAAACCGAAGCCTTACCAGTTCTGACTGAGCTCTACGTCCTGGTGTTAAAACCTGAACCTAAGCCTAAGCCCTCACCTCAACCCCAAACAACCAGCGCCTAGGACCCCCTAAACCCTAAACATCCCGACACCCTAAACCTCTATAAACCCCAAGCAACAAGCTCCTAGGACCCCTAAACCCCTAAACCCTAATCCCTAAACCCTAAACCCTGAACAAAAGGAACCCCGAAACCCCTTAACCTTAAACGAAAGCTCCTAGGACCTCGCCCGACAACACCGGCAGCCATGCCGCCCACCTGGCCACAGCACGAAAGTACTGGCGATTTCTCGGTGTCCTCGTACCGTGGCATCGGGTTAAGGGTTTAGAGCGTAGGGTTTAGGGTTTAGAAGTTGCCTTGAAGGATCAGATTACGTAGAAAGTAGGGGCTACTCGTACCCTTAGGGGACAGGAACTACACATAAAAAGCTGGACGAAGCAAGCCCGAAGAACTCCCAAGCGCTTAAACACGGTAGGTTATTTGGGGTTGAGGTCAACCTGGAAGCAAACCGAAATCCTAAACCCTCAACCCTGAACCCTCTACCCTTAAACCTAAGGACTCTAAGCCCTCAACCTCGAAGCAACGACCCTAAACCCTAAACCCCTCCCGCTTTGAACCTGAACTTTGCAGCTGGGACTAAAAACCCGAACCCAGGACGCATCACAAGCAGGTTCTTCTCAGAGAGCACAGCAGTGCGTTATAAGCAACATTAAGCAAGTCGGGTTTCGGGTTCAGCGTTTAGGGCTTTCGGTTTCAGATATCTTATCCTGTTATTTAAGGGCCCTTCTGTGATTTCGGGTGTGGTTTTTGTAAGTAGTATTGGTGATTGGTGGGCCTGCTTTGATTTGAGCTCGTGGATAGTTATCCTTGCCCAAATTGAAAGTAGGCCATTAAACCTTCATGACTACAGCAAACACTCGACTCACTCAACCATATAGAGGGCCTTAACAAAGCGAGACCCGAATACCTTCTCTAAATCCCAACCAAAACCGCCTGGTGGTGACTCCACGTGCCCCAACTGAATTACGACTGCTTATCGGTACCACATGATAACCAATATTTGCCATGGTTACCGTTACTTTTACTGTATATGGAGATGTACTTCCTGTTTTTCGTGCTGCTGCCGAGGTAAATGATTGCGGGATCTCGGTGGATGCCCTTTGCTTGCGCCACTGGCCTTGGCATTGGAAGGCTCAAGGTTCGGCTTCGATGTAGGGGTAACCGACATGAATTCCGTATACCCTAAACCCTAAGCCCTGAAACCCTTCTTTTTTGTGGTCAACCCTAACCCCTAAACCCTAAACCCCTGTCATCGAGGCGACATGGACGGCCGCAATGTGGCCCACTTGGCTGCGGCGAACGGCGACTCGCAAACCCTGAGGTGCCGTTCGAGGAGGTTTTGAAAGAAGCTTTGCCTCATGCCAAAGCCGTAGGTTTTGGGTTTAGGGTGTAATTAGGGCCTTATAAACACCAAAACCCGAAATTGCAAAGACCAAAAATGCCGAACACTCTGAGTATAGCCCCCTAAACCTGGGGTGTTGGGTGACCCTAAACCCTAAGCCCTAAACCCTCGAGCGGCAGCTAGGAGGAACTCATAAAATGGGACCTTTTCAGAGGGGGTCATGGTATTCAGAGGATCATGGGACTTAGTAAGTAAAGGGCTACACGTACCTTAACTAGGGTCAGAAGGAATTGTAATATAGGGGCCTTAATACTTAGAATAGGGTTTTGATGCCCATTATACTATAACTATAATAAAAAATCCCCAAAAATAGCAGTGGTAACTATAAGTGTCCTTACCCTACTTGGTTTTTTCTGGAGATGGTTCTGAGGCTTCCAATCCTGACCTTTCGGGATTAGGGTGTAGGGTTTAGTTGGGCTGCTAGGTTCTTTTTTTAGTTCAGGGTATGGGTTTCAAAGCACGTAGTGGTATTCTCTGCAAACTTCTTACCCTGCATGTAATGGGACGTTTATCTATGTAGCCCGCTCCAGCACAGTTTCTGCAGGCTTCCCATTTCCTACCTACAGTCTCCATTGTAGTCCCCTTTATTGGTTTAACCAATTATATTTTAAGATCTTATGAGGTAACCCCCAAAAGGAATTACAATGGA